GGGGGGGGGGGTGTACTTGAGACGATGGAACCACAGCTGTCCCTGTCCCTGTCTCATCCCTGTCCTGTCCCCTGCCACCAGGCCAGGCCACAGAGCTTCAGGGCAGCCCTGGCTAGGGCTGAAACCACTCCTGCCTGCCACTGTCACGTGGAAAGCTCGCTATCAAGGGAAACTTCAGATCAGCTACAGCCCACACAGTCACAGACACGGACGGATCATGGGTCCCAACTGACCACACCTTGTGGGCGCCACCCCCAGTTCAGCTCACCCCAGGCCTGGAGGAGGCCGCCACGGGCAGGGGCTGTGCCGGGAGAGCGCTCTGTACCATACCTGCTCACGCCCTGGGCCACGCCCTGGCAGGACGCAGTGGAAGCTTCTGCTCCATCACAGGCCGAGGCGGAAGGCAGAGGCGAGGGCTCTGAGGCCGGGGGAGGGAGATCCACAGGGGCGGCAGCTGGGGGGGTGCTAGGCACACAAAGGGAGAATTATTCCCAATGAAACTCGGCTCCTTAATGGCACATTCATCAGGCTCCACACCCCACCCTCCCCACCCACGGGGATGGGCTATTTACAGACCCAAGGGCACACCCTGCAGTGCAGCAGCCCCCAGGCCCGGGGTGAATTCCTCTCTCCTGAGGCCCCGGCAGAGCCTGGGGCTTCTTGGACAGAGGTAGCTCAGTGGCTGCTCAGGACATGCTCTGTGAGTTGTCTTGTTTGATTTTTTGTTAGGGGAGGGGGCTTTTATATGATCATTTCTAATATTTCTTTTATATGTAATGAAACTTTGCATTGGGAACTAAAATACAACTTGGTAAACTCCCGGAGACTTGTCCCCAAATCCAAGGGTAAGAAAAGCAGAGGCCAAAAGGCTGATGGAACCTCCTCTCTGGTGCACCATTTCTATAGCAGAGCCCGTCCCTCGTTCAGTGGGTGAGTGCCCCCTGCTGGGCCGCCAGGGAACCGCCCGCAGTGCAGGGAGACACCCTGGGGACAGAAGGTGGAAGGACAGCCACCTGCAAACACACCCTCAGAAGCCCAAAGGCACAAGACTGAGAGCTCACAACAGGTTGATTTTCCGCTTTGGCAAAAAGCAAGGCCGGCAATACCAGCCACAGACTAACTCCTAGGAGCAATTTTCGGGGGG